TATATATATGTCTTGTCTCTACTATATATTATAATACTATATATATATATATATATATATATATATGTATATGTATGTATATATATATATAGATATATATATATATATATATGTTTGCCCATATATGTTTACAGATATATATATGATATATATATATGCTTGCTCATGTATATTTACAGATATGTATGCTTGCTCATGTATGTTTACGGATGTTATGCTTTGCTCACAGACCGAAAAAGTTGGTACGGAATCTTTTCGGAAGATGGAGAGAAGCTGTGCGAAGTTTGCATGCGGATATGGATATCAGCACAGACCAGGATCAAGCCCAAATCTAAGATGCGCTTACTTGGTATGTATAGGTCTGCGCAAATCTTACTTCATCAAACAGAATTGGCCTGCTCATGAACCCTCTTATGCCACAAACAGGCACTTGAAGAAGTTGTTATAGCCACACACTGGTAGGGTGCAGGGTAGTGTGGGGCCTGGTCCGGTAGAGCTTACAGAGTCTACATGGCGTAGCCCGTGCCTTTACTTTGCGTCCATTAATTGAGAATGTATGGAGGCATCTCATAGTGGGACGTTGGTAGTTAGTCGTGTTGCAACGCACTTGTGTGCGATATATCTCTACGCCCCTCGGCGGGGTTCGTTCAGACTTGCTCTCATCCCGGCTAGCCCTATCATCAATGTCGGTATCATTGCTAATAGCGATGGGGTCGAAGGCTAGTTAAAGGTGCGCATACCTCACCACGATCACCTCTGTCAACGCTTAGATTGAAAGGCAGATCGCAAAATAATAAACATGCAGGACATGTATGTATATGTATATATATAGATGTTTGTCCTCAGCATTCATATATATGTACACATACACACACCCACACATACTACGTGTTTTTCTATCCACTTCAGCATCCCCCCTCTCGTCCCTTGGGTCCAGGGGCAACTTCGATCAAGACACCAGCCGCGAGTCTTTGGACTCGACCAGTAGCGTACACCACGCACCTATCGCCCACACATCCTCCATGCTACCATCCTTGGACATTACCAGGTAGGTGCCTCGGGCGCGAGGGTTTGTTCAAGTTAACTGCCTTGTACAAGTGCGCATCTCCTCATGGATATGTATCTGTGCATATGTAAGTAGTACCTGTGGCATGAAGTCGTGTGTATATGTGCGTGTTTGCCTGTGCATGTGTATGTCTGCATACATTCGTAGTACCTGTGGCATGGAGTCGTGTATACGTGCGTATTTGCATGTGCATATGTATGTCTGCGTACATTCGTAGTGCCTGTGCACGTGACGAGAGTTGGACCTCGGTGTTGTGCTCAGCATTGCGCCGTCGTTTTATAGCAAGGTGTGCCTGGTGCCGTGCTCGTGGGCGTGTGGTGTGTGCATTGGGCGTGACACTTCTATTATTTTAGCCATGGGTAGCCAATAGGTGTCTTGTACAATGTGCGATGAGTGAAGGGTGGTGTGGGGTATATATATATATATATTTGTATGTGTATCCGTTTAAACAGTAGATGTGTGCCTAGTGCCGTGTTCGGAGGCGTGTGGTGTGTGCATTGGGCGTGACACTTCTGTTATTTTTAGCCGCGGGTAGCCAATAGGTGTCTTGTACCCTGTGCGATGAGAGAAGGGTGGTGTGGGGTATATATATATATGTATGTGTATCCGTTTCAAAACAGTAGATGTCGCAATCGTTTATTCGTGCACCGAGGGCCATCGGCAAGGTCGGCTTCAAGTTACTTCGACGGCTGTTTGCTCCACCGCGAAAGTCTTGGTGCAATGTGCTTTATTCCGTATCACTCGACTATAAGGCTCTCATCTGCGGCCCAATGTAGTGGCCATTGTTGGTAGAAAAGCATCTTATTGGAATATTGGACATTTCTCAAAATCAACAATGGGCATTTTTGTAATTTACACTTCTGCAACTCAAAATATAGCAAGGGCCGTTATACCAAAATTGCCAATATTTAAAGTTATGAATCATGTTTTCAAAAAGCTGCATGAAGCAGCTTATTTGGAAAATGCTGGACTGTATTTTAATTTACGTAAACAAATTTTAAAATGTCGAATTCCTTGGGAGTGATTTACGGCGCGGTATTTTAAAATTTCCTTTTTTTTGAACGTAGGCACAATGGAATGGCCTTTCCCAATATAGTCACAAGGGACTCAATATTTAAATATCCAATTCAAATTTTCTGTGCGCCTGTAACCGTTGTAGCAAACTATAAAAGTGGTCAATCAAGGCCATTTATGATACTGGTCATTATTGAGTTGCAGAACAGGGCTCAAGTATAATTTTGCTCCATCGCATATCGACAATTACAATGTATGTAGGGTTTTAGGGGGTCTTTTTGAGATTCAGGGTCTCAATTGCTGGGTCCAGGTCGTAATAATAAATACGTTTACACTAACTAAGTTAGGTTAGGTGAGTGTAGCATGTGCATAGCAAAGTGTGTTGTATCTACATCTTCATGCATGCATGCCCGCCCATGATTGTAGTACTACCAACACACGCGGAATGCACTAAGTCGCAGGATGTCATTTCGAATCCATCCCATGCAGTTTCACGCCCACCTCTGGGCCGCCGGGGGGTATCATTGTCATCAGAGGCGATCGATTGGGAATGTCGGAAGGGGTGAGTTTAGCAACCACAGTGCTAACTGGCCATGCTTTCGAAGCCCTGTTTATGTCCGTGTATAGGGATAGTCCTCTACTTCACTCGTCTCTTTCAGTGTGTGTGGTTGTATATACCTGGCCCAAGTGGTGCGTGTGTGTGGTTGTATATGCCTGGCCCAAGTGGTGTGTGTGTGGGATGTGCACCCTATAGACATCGGGGCCTGCGAGAGGGCGAGCTTTGAGCTCTCTCTGTCGTCGGCCGTTGTATCACATCCATGGTCTGTTGGGTGCTGCAATCAGCTGTACACGGCTGAATCGCTGCCTTATTGGATGTTGCACTGCGCTGTATAGATATGTATACACAAAGGTACGCTTGCTCATGGCCATTGTACATTGATGACCTCCCTCACCTATCCACCTATTCATCTATTCACCTATTCAACGTGCACTACACCTGCATGGCTCTGCCTTTACCTGTACGCCAGGTGCTGTCCTCAGGTGTGTTCGCCTGACATCAATGTGCCTCTCATATCTGGTTGCTGTGTGTGATGTGTGCCTCATCGTGTTTGCTCGCGTGTGATTCGCTATGACTACACGGGATCTACACACGGTGCCCCAAACGCACATGCCTTATAACAGCGCATTACACACAATGTCAGGAAATCAACACAATCACCGTAGCCGGACACACAGTGGAGGAATTCGAGTGGAAGAGTCGTGCGGAGATTAGGGTGTCTACCTCGGAAGAATCGGAGGGCGCTGGAAGGGTGTGTTTGAATCTTTATTTTCTCATGTATTACGTTTACGATTGTATACGAACCAAATTTTGTTTAATTAACTACATATGAGTTGTATTTAGATCACTTTATATGTACACATTGATGAATATATATACATATATATGTATGTATGTGTGTGTGTGTGTGTGTGTGTGTAAGTAGATGTATATGTATATGTATATGTATATGTATATATATATATATATATATGTGTGTGTGTGTGTGTGCGAAAACTTGTATATGTCTGCCCGTGCATCTAAATGTCATGTATTCCCAGGATAGTTCTGGAGTCCCTGCTATAGATCGATCAACACAACGTCTGCATTATACACAACTTTTGACACTCTTTTCATAACACACAGGGTATACTAATACGTCTATACACTCTGTAGGTAGTGATATGGTTTAAGGACGGCGACTCTGCGACGTCCGATACTATGTACACGTTCACCGAACTGGGGGAGAGCCGCAAATCCATGCAGGTTGAGATGGGTGGGTATAAATTGCTGAGGCATTGAACTACTGTACATATCTCTGAAACTGATTCGTTCGTAAGTCAACCGCAGGCCCTGTCCTAGTACACGTTGTGCTGTTCCTGTGGTAGTCGTCTGAACTGATGTTCTTGGCGCGATGGCGGAGGGAACTTTGTTTGTATGTGTAGTGGAAATGGGGTCAGCCTAATCGCCGAGGGAGTTTTTGTGTCACCCTGTTCGTATGTTTACTTGGATCAAACCGTTGCTCAGCCGTAGCCTATGTATATCCCTCCCTTTGAATCATATTTACCAATGAACCCGTGCGTGCACAACGAATTGCGATTCCACCATTCCAGACTGTTCAGTCCGATACATCCCTCATAGCATATTCTTGATATCTCATAACATACAACATTAGCAAAACACTTGATATCTCATAATATACAACATTAGCATACCCTTGATATTTCATAACATACGACATTAGCACACCCTTGATATCTCATAACATACAACATGGATCCAACAATCAGAGGCGCAGCAACCAGACATCCAACAAATCTTCATACATCCCTCGTAGCATACCCTTGGTATTTCATAACATGCAACATGGCTCCAACAGTCAGAGGCCAATACATCCCTCGTAGCATATCACTTGATATCTCAAAACATACAACATGGCTCCAACAATCAGAGTCCAATACATCCCTCGTAGCATACCACTTGATATCTCATATCATACAACATGGCT